ATGTTATCTTATATTTTACAGATATATATATATATATATATAGTTACTGTCTGTCCTACCGTAGTAACAGTGGATGTTATCTTACATGTTACTGATATATACAGTTACTGTCTATCATACCGTAGTAACAGTGGATGTTATCTTACATTTTACTGATATATATATATATATATATAGTTACTGTCTGTCCTACCGTAGTAACAGTGGATGTTATCTTACATGTTACTGATATATATATATATAGTTACTGTCTGTCATACCGTAGTAACAGTGGATGGTATCTTGTATATTACTGATATATACAGTTACTGTCTGTCATACCGTAGTAACAGTGGATGTTATCTTACATTTTTTGATATATACATATATAGTTACTGTCTATCATCCCGTAGTAACAGTGAATGTTATATTACATATTATTGATATATGTATATTTACTGTCTATCATCTTGTAGTAACAGTGGATGTTATATTACATATTAATGATATATACAGTTACTGTCTATCATCCCGTAGTAACAGTGGATGTTATCTTACATATTACTGATGTATATATATATATAGTTACTGTCCATCATCCCGTAGTAACAGGGGATGTTATCTTACATATTACTGATATATATATATATAGTTACTGTCCATCATCCCGTAGTAACAGTGGATGTTATCTTACAGTTACTGATGTATACAGCTACTTCATATCGTCCCAGTTTAAACATAGTAACATTCAGTGTTATCTTACATTTACTGATATATACCGCTGCTACATATCGTCCCAGTTTCAATGTAGTTACATTTACTGATATATACCGTTACTACATATCGTCCCAGTTTCAATGTAGTAACAGTAACTGTTATCTTAAATTTACTTATATATACCGTTACTACATATCGTCCCAGTTTCAATGTAGTAACAGCAATTGTTATCTTACATTTACTGATATATATACCGTTACTACATATCGTCCCAGTTTCAATGTACTAACAATCAGTGTTATCTTAAATTTACTGATATATACCGTTACTACACATCCTTCTATTTTTAACGTAATAATAATAATTACTCGAGAAAATGTGAGGGCCAGTTGATAAAAAGTGAATTTACCACCTGTTGTATTCAAGATATTCAGAAACAGAAGTAGAAATATTTAGAAGCTGTCACAATAGCTAGTCTGTTTGTTAGTCAACCGTTATATTTTAACATATGGTATTTAGATATTGTATTCCTACGTGATGTAACGAGAGATGTCACAGGAAAGGTCTGAGAATCCTTTATTGAACAACAATCAGTATCACAGCATTAATATACAAAATACGTTTAAAATGTTAAACAACGTGACGTACACATTTTTATACATTCTATTCTAAGAGCAAAGAAAAGCTGAGAAATACGTGAAACAAGTGGTTGTTTACATCAGAGCTTCATCTGTGGAAATGATGGACACTCCAGATAGTGGTAGCTGTTAATAAAGTAGAAAATAGTGAATCAGTGAAAAGTAAAAACGATGGAAAAGACAATAAATGATCTAGAAACCTGAAAGTCTTAAAAGCAGTGAATTGTAAGTGAGGAAGAAGAGATGTATGTGGGGGGAATTGAGCACTTGCTGCACGGATCAAAACAACAGGAAAAGAGAGTAAAATCCAATGGTTATCAACATTTTAATTCATAGAAACGTCATGAAAGTTATATTTCACAGTTTTAAAGATAAATTAGCAATATCAGGTTTATTTTTACTAAGAAACTAAGTAATACCCTTTAAAAATTATTTAATTTCATTCAAATACCGTCCGTCATGTAATATGTCAATTTTAAAAGTCAAATACACATTCTTTACAAGAACAGACTATTACACTGAACTCAAAAATAATAGAGTAATTAAAATAAAATAATGCGCGATTACAAGTTGTTTTCCTGAAACTATTCCATTTGTGTGTGATAGCGCCATTTTGTAAATATTCAAAGTAAGTCTAACAGCATAATTTTGTAAATCTTCATGGTCAGTCTAATCATATCATAAATTAAAGTAAATCCAACAGCGACATTTAAAAAAATATATTTGACGTTAAGTCCAACAGCTCCATTTTGTAAATCTTAACATGAGTCTAACCAGCAACACTTTGTAAATCTTATCATAAGATTAAGAGCGCCATTTTGTAAATCTTAACATGAGTCTAACCAGCAACACTTTGTAAATGTTAACATAATTCTAACAGTATAATTTTGTAAATATTTACATAAGTCTAACAGCGCCATTTTGTAAATCTTAACATGAGTCTAACCAGCAACACTTTGTAAATGTTAACATAATTCTAACAGTATAGTTTTGTAAATATTTACATAAGTCTAACAGTGCCATTTTGTAAATCTTAACATGAGTCTAACCAGCAACACTTTGTAAATCTTATCATAAGACTAAGAGCGCTATTTTGTAAATATTTACATAAGTCTAACAGCGCCATTTTGTAAATCTTAACATGAGTTTAACTAGCAATACTTTGTAAATGTTAACATAAGTCTAATAGCGCTATTTTGTAAATATTTACATAAGTCTAACAGCGCCATTTTGTAAATCTTAACATGAGTTTAACTAGCAACACTTTGTAAATGTTAACATAAGTCTAATAGCGCTATTTTGTAAATATTTACATAACTCTAACTGCGCCACTTTGTATAAAATAACATAAGTCTAACAACACCATTTTGTAAATATTAAGATAAGACAGATCCTACTATGAAGAATGAGGAACTAAAAAGTTTATACTTTGCTTCTAGTTCTTTAGTACCCGAGTTATCAAACATTTAATTGCGCTATATTTTAACCCAGCCTTCTGTCGGCCAAACCCATTCAAAAATTCCCTTGCAATATTTCTTCACTGCAAATTAGAAATCTCACATTATCGTAAGGAACAAGCTATTCCTGAGCTTTTTATCAACTTCCTTAGTGTTGAGTCCATCAGGCAGAGGCCAAATTTTGAAATATCGGTACGAAAAGGGTGACCAAGGTTTAATGGTATCATTTCAAAGATCTTATATTATAAATACATTTTGTCCTGGTAGCAGTCTCAAATCAGCAGCTTTCTCTAATTTAAACAGGAGGTGGTATGTTTAAAAGTTGGAGTAAATTTTCATACCCCTTTATAATGTGTTAAAAGTTTGTGATATAGCACTAAAAATAGTTACATTCAACTCGATTGATATGAAACTTGGCTTTATATCATTAGAACATATTCATGACATCATCACACTAATGCATATCTATCATTCTCCAAATTGTATAATGTTTATGTTATCACACCAATGACCTTTTACATCTACCATTTTATTAAATATATCTATATCATGTATATTCACACGGCTGCGGTCTTTGGCCATCACCTATATAACTGATATAAATAGGCTATGTTAAGAAACGGTGGTTTTCAAGACATTACTGTATCCGGATCGGCAAGATCGGGTCCTACGATTTGGAATGACAGATTTATGGCTTAATTTTTTCTTGTTTATACAGAATCTTCTTTGGTGTGTTGAAGCACAAAATAAAAGAATAGAAAATACTTTATTGCCATATATTAAATATTATGATGTTTTATTATATTATAAGAAGTGATACGTCAGGTCAGTTTAACAAAAAGCTCGAGTTCAAATTAATCAATTATTGGTTGTATTTGACCAGGATCTATATGCTAAGGCTATCGAGATCCTTTGGGAGAATCACACAAAATTTTGCACTGTCATCTTGAGAATGGGAGTCTTTCATACGATTTTAATTTTCTTTCAATCATTCAGGTTGGTGTTGTAGCAGAAGGGTCAATATCGAATATGATGGAAGGTCGACAATATAATCGAGGAGTTGAAACTCAGAAATACGTGTATGAAGCCTTACCTCGTTTGGCTTGGAATGAATTAATTCTGTGGACATATGAGCACCGACCAGAACATACATTTCAAATACAGGAAGGACTAGAAGTAACCGAGTGCTTTCATTAGGAACTTCAATGAAAATCTTAATAAATAGCTTTACTGCATCACTTCACAAAGTATCTTGATTATTTGTGAAAGAAGAATGGTTCCCTGTCTTTCTACTGGATGAAAGAAGAATGGTGTTCCCTGTCTTCCTACTGTACGAAAGAAGAATGGTTCCCTGTCTTCCTACTGTACGAAAGAAGAATGGTTCCCTGTCTGTCTACTGGATAAAAGAAGAATGGTGTTCCCTGTCTTCCTACTGTACAAAAGAAGAATGGTTCCCTGTCTGTATACT